GAGTTCATCCTCAAAATCTCTCAACATTTGCTGCAAATTATCATCAGTCACGCATCTTTTTTCTTGTTCCGGTTCCTCAAAATCATGAATTGCATCAAAATATTGGTCTGAATATCCATATTCTTGCGGTGTGCTGCTGGACTCCATAGTTGTGTCATAGGCATGTAAAGGCCTTGATGGCTGAGGGAATTCTTGAAACGTAGGACGAAAAAATTCACCATTTGTCCTCATGTTGTTGGAACTGGTAACTGTAGTTTGGTTTGGAAACGCAGATATTGTGGTTTTGTGATGGTTTTTGTAATTTGTTTTGATGCCAATAATTTGTGGGATTGAGGATATTTATAAGCTGTAACATGTGTCCTTTGACGAGGCCGCTGGTTGACTAATCAAAGTTTGATGAATCTTTGACAAGCAAAGCAATCAGTCAATCAGAGTTTCCAGTGTTTGATCGGAACAAGTCATGTTTTACCAAAAAAAGACTGGTTCCTAATCCTCCTCCTAGGAAACCTGTGCATTGAATATTCTACGTTATACTTTAATATTTTTTAATGTAGTCATGATAAGTGAACATGATGGTTAACAGGGGAGGACCAACGTTTATCAATTGTAATTTTGCTCCTATTTGGTTCAGTTAAAAATTAAATTTCCATTATACTTCGATAAAAGTTGACAAAATTTATAGTTGAAAATGTGATAATATTAAGACTTGTGGTTATATCTTGAAAGGTTAATTTTATTAAAATGAATAATTCAAACCCTTATAAGCAAATCTATGTTTTTTTATCTTTATTTGATGTAAAATTTTATCCTTTAACATATCCTTATAAGATGGTAGCTCATTTGAACATTCAAATCTTGATATTCGTGTGCTCATATTTTAATCTTAATTATATCGAATTGCTCGACACCATATTAACACTTGGAATTTCATCTCAAAAAGTTAACATTATTAAGAAGAGTAACACAAACTCTTATAAGTTGGTCTATGTTTTTATCTTTTATTCGATAAGAGATTTTATCTTTTAAAAGATATGGATACCATGAAATGTGTGATTTAGTTCTTTGTTTGTTCGTATTGGGAAGCAAGCAGATTTCCTATGGATAGAAAGTCAGATAACGGATGGGGTTGAGATTCAAAGGGCTTTTAAAACCTCTTCCTAACTCTATGGGAAGGTTTCCTATTTGTGTGCCTAGGTTAAGGAATCGAATTTAGGGGGCAAAAAGAAAGGGAAAGACCCATTTTACCTCCTGGTGGCTAGGCTAGTGCAACAAGCCAAGTCAGAAGCTACTAGGACGTTTTGGATTAAGGATGGGCTCTTGATCACCAGAGGGAATTGTCTCTACTTGCCCAAGGTCATAGATTTAAGGAAGGAGATCTTAAGGGAGTGCTTCATTAAATCAAACGGGGCTTTATGTAATTGATGATTAAGATGTCATCAAAATTAGAAATAAACTATGTATTTCAATCAATAAAAATAAATTTTTTTATTACAAGTAAAGAGTTACTTATCATTGACTTTTAAATAAACATGCTTCTCTATATTATAGAATTATATTGTCTTTTAAATATGTTGTATCATTGACAATTCAACGATATATATACACATACTTTAATATTGAGTAAAAGAAGTCGTATCCAATATTGAACAATTGGTCCAATAGAAGATGAGATGCAGCTCGATTCATTTTTTTAATGTCTTTTTTGTTATTAGGTGCTTTTTATTATTTTCTTACAAAGTTAGGGACCGAAGAGAAATTTCAATCAAATGACGTGTTCGGTTTTACTTCTCTAGCCAGCCTCCAAGGATAATCCGATTAGAGACTTTTGACTAATAAGTTTTGAGTTAGGGATATCGTGCAATTTTAATAGAATTGGAATTTAGGGTTACGAGTTATGAGCATGTTGTTTTAGTTGGCTTCTTTTGATTTCAACTTTACAAAGTATTGGATATTTGTCTATTTTTGTCTCAGGTAATCAACATTTTTTGTCGATTAAATAGTAAAGTATGAGTTTGAACTAAAAAAAAAATCATACTTTTAATTTTATTTATAGCTTCTTTAAAAGTGAGATACTTTCTATTTTATTACAAGAAAAATGCTACGAAGAAAGGGGCTACTGACAAGTTTTAAACCTCACCATATTTGAATTGTACAAATCAAAGGCTGAGGTGAATGTTTAAAACCGTGTCAGTACCAGCATTAGTGTTATCACAATTGCATTTTGAAAAGTTGCAAAGTGCAATGTAACTCACATTATATTTATATAATATAGGAGGTATAAAAGCAACTTATTCACCCATCTTATTTTTATCACAATAGGTACTTACATTAGGATTGATCTTCTGTTTATAGTGGGTATGACATATCTAGTCCACCGGTGAGGTGGCAAGATGTAGTTTTTTGCCACCTCAGCAGTGGAGTGTGAGGTGGCAAGACGTGGGCTAGATGCTCAAACTATTCATATGTATTTCATATGCTACCTATTGAAATAATGATGGTTGGAAAAGAAAAAAACAAAATCTCATTAAAGAAGCATGATAGTAAATGTAGATTAGTACAACAAATAATTACAAAAATGAAAATCCTAATTCTTGCGTGGGCGAACATAAGCAATAATAGTGAAAAGTGTCTGCGCCACGGTGAGGATCAGAAGAATAAAAGCAGCTAATGCCGAAACAAATGACCATGGTGTGCTAAAATAAGTGTACTTAAAACTTGCCCAGTGGATATGCCAACGGTTCCTATAATAGAGATTCACTTCATCGAACAATTCAGACAAGTAGCAAACATCAATATCAAATGCCACATCCTTCCCCAAATTGTTAACAAAACTCACAATTTCTGCATCTGTCCCAAGTTCATTCTCAATGATTTTATGATCACTCAAATATGCAACATCCTTATGAGTGTCTATTAGGTAATCCAAGAAAGTTGCATAGGTTGTCATGTGCTTAGAACAACTCTTGTGACACTGTTCATATGCCACACAATTCAGCAAAAATGCACTCATAAAATCATCCATGATAATTGTGGGCATTTCAATCACTCCATGTCTGAATTTTATCACCAAAAAACTGTCTTCGTTTCCAACTTTGAACTTGATCCCTGCTTGTCTGAGCTTCGATATGCATTGGATTTGGATTACATGAGTTTTCGTGTCATTACCTGGCTCTGGCTCTGGCTCTGGCTCCTTGTACCCTGCTGGTATAAAACTCGATCTGAGAAAATCGAGTAGGTGTTTCCCTTTGTGACCATGAAACTTGTGGATAAAATTAACTGGCCTTTGCATTGCATTGTTGAAGAATTTCATCGTCAAAGTAGATAAAGAGGGACCGGATTCTTCACACGGCATTCTCGTCAGATCAAAGAGGC